AATGTGAAATGAGCTCTCAGAATGTTAGATTTGGAAAACAGCTAATTAGATGCTGTTTCAGGCTCTCCTGCTGGGATGACTATTGCATATACTGAAGTAAAACCTGCACCCTGCAAATTGTCTCAGTCTTAGTCCTGCAAAGTAGTCTGTAGCTCCAAGCTGGTGCTGGGGCATGGGGTGCTCGTTAGGATGGAGGGGCTCACCAAGCAGTTGATGTTGTGCTTCAAGGAGTTTGTTCCACCACAATTCAGATTTGCATGATTTGACACATGGCCAGGGTCAGTCCACATTAAACACGTTTTTGAAAAACTCATCAGATACTAGAATTTTGTTATGGCCAACCCATGACTGTTGGCGTGGGATTGTTCTGTTTGCCTCTCCTGCTGGAGGTGATCAGAACCCAGCAGGAACATGTACTGACTCCCTCATCTTGTCATGGCATGTTCTGAAGAAGAGTGGGAGTCACTATCTAGGAGAGGGAATTTGGACTAATTATGAAGAAATCTTTCAGGGCAAGCCTTGAAATAGCTGAGTGTAGTAAGAAAGGTCAGGGTTTTGATTTTTTTATGGTGCTAATGAAACCAAATCCTGTCAGAAAGCAGAAAGTGCAGGCCACTGCTTATCTTATGTTTTTGATTTCTGAATCCCTCAAAATCACAAGTAGCTTGTAAATCAAGTCTACTGACAACAGTCTTGTTCCTCCTGGGTTCCTCATGTGGGCCTGTGGTAGTCCAGGGATCCTCAGATATCCATGTGGAAGAAATCTGCGCATAGTCTAGCAAGTGTAGATATCAACAAAAGTGTGCATGTATGACTGAGGATGGGGAGAGGGAATCCAGATATACCTTTATCGCTACATAAAGGTAGCTTAGAAAAAGGTAGCTTGTTATCAGACAGAATCATTGGCACTCACCAGCAGGAAAGAAAAAAGCAATTCCAAGAGTAAAGCCTGTGCAAGTGCTTATCTATGCTCTGGCCTGTTGAGAGTGAAAATTTCATGGGTTTTCAGATTGCTTCCAAGCTAGTGATCCCAAGCTAGTGTGTAAGGAAGGCCATGAGTGGGAGACAATGAATGAAAGAGGGACATAAATATGGGTTTGCTTTCAGTTCTCTGCATAAATTTCATAATTTGAGCATTCAAACTTAATAGCCTGCATGTTTGAGGTATATGAACAACTACTGACAGGTAAAAGCTAGTGTGGTGCATATATAGTAGCAAGGGTGCAAAAAGGCTTTCAGCTACTCATATTGGTGCAGCGAGGTCATCTCTGATCTGTGCAGGTCCCGAGCACAGACTGGATTTTCGCTGTAGTTAAGTGGGTCAGTTCTTAATTCAGAGAATCGCAGAATGGTGTGGGTTGGAAGGGACCTTAAAGACCACCTAGTTCCAATGGCCCTGCCATGGGGCTTGGAACTCATGCTCTTTAACTAATCAGTAAAACAAAACCAGTGTAGTTGGCAGGGTATGATATATTTTAAATCATTAGTCTACTTTTAGTAAAGCAAATCAAGGTAAAAGCTAAAATCTTTTTCCCTTAGCATAGACAAAGCCAAAGAAGGCACACCACTTAATTCTCTCTCCAGATTGACAATCCATCTGTTAAAGTATCTGTGTTGTGACAGTCATCAATAGAAAATGTTTTGGGGACAACTCCAAGAAAATCCACTCCCAAAATTTAGGAAATACCCCATCCATCTCTTTTCAGTTTAACACAGGGCATAAAACTCTTTAAGCAAATATGTCTGTGTATTTCTATCTATATTTATATAGCTTCTCTATATATTCAAATGTGGATATACCATACATGTGTATAGAAAGAGAAAGAGGAAGATGGGCATAGGGAGAAAGAAAACACAGGTATGTCATATACTTTATATATAGATGATATGCATGTTGTTTTATAATGTACGTTCTGCATATATGTGTAATCATTATATATATTTCTATACCTTCTGTAAGCTAACAATGAATTTCTTCATTACTGTCTTTGCCCTTTTGAACACTTCTAATTTCTCAATCTACAAGTCTAAATCACGGCTGAAAACTTCTCATCCTACCATTTCTCCTTCGTGATGGGAAGAAGAGAAATACAGAAAGAGTTCATAAGGAATTTTGCTTTTCATTTTGACAGGAATGGGTCAAAAAATAAAAGGAAGTCAGATCTTAAGATAACGGTAAATTATTGGAGTACAATTGATTTTAACGCAGTGATGATGATTCACATCAAGCAAAGATTAACTGGCCTGGAAATTCTAGAGAACAATTGTACTAAATGCTGGGTTTTTAAAATCTATGCAATCTTAATGTAAGATTGCTGAGTCACTACTGCAAGTTAACACACTGCTAAGACTTGGCTGTAATAGGAAATGAGCTGTACAAGCCAGATTTCATCAAGAAGTATGAAACCAATTCTGCTGACTCATCCATCCATCTAGCTTTCCCTATTGACATTTCCAAGGGACAGTAATTTATATACTGAAAAACTAAAATTGGTGCATAAACTCCACTTTTGTTTTCTACTGTTATGACTGACAGCTGTGGCTAGTGAGTGGTTAGGGAGGAACCTAAAAGTCAGAACGTTACAACAAAAAAGAAAATCATCAAGCAATGAGAATACATTAGTCTCATAAATTTCAAAGCTGATTAAATGCTTGTTACATTACTAGTATAAACATTTTGATAAAATATTTCTCCATAAGAAATAAGAGTATTTCTCCATAAGTGATACTCTTCTCTTTAGAATAAGTTAACAGGACCCTATTAATAGAGGAGAGTTTCTGACATATGGACAAGTAAAACGGTTTTTATTTTCTTGTTACTGATATCATGGAGTGGTTACTTTTAGAGCTAGCTGAGCAGGCTATTGATTTTTTTTCACTCAAAAATTTCAAATGAAAAGCCTATATTTACATGTTCTGACTAAAAATCCTTAGTTTTTTGCAGGATGATTTAAAGTCCTTTTTTGGTTTCTTTCCACATAAAATCTTGTGATTTATTGTCTTAGTTCCCTTTAACCCATAAACACCAAATCAAAACCAACCCCCCAAAATACCAACAAGAGGTACTAAGTCATTGTGAAAATGGTAATTCCTTTTCAAATTTGATTAATAAAGTAATCTCAATTTCTCTGCTGTGTACGCAGCAATATGGAGGAGGTGGTAGGAAAATTTCCACAAAGTGCTGCATTATAATTATTAGTTTAGGAACTGGTACAGACATTTCTGTTTCTTTAACAAGCCATTCTAACTTTCAGTATACAACATGGCTTTAATGGGAGAGTTCAGTTTTCTCCTTGGCTGCATCAATGGCTTGGTGGAGAAGGAAGTCACTTCTGACCTTCACCTCCCTTTCCCCATGAAAAATAAGGCAATAATTGTATTTCCGTACTTAAGGTGGTTGGGTTGCTTGAATAGTTACACAAACCATGCAGATTCTTGGATTTAATGGCTATGGAAGTGTGATGTAATGTTGGTATAATTCATTTTCGTCATGAAATCTTCATTTTGATAGCCTAACTTTTCATTATACTGTATAATCAAAACTTTGGTAAGTTCTCAAGCTGTTCTTCCTCTCCAGACTTTCTCTTTCTTCTTACATTTTCATCTTTTTTCTTAAATGCAAAACAAAATAGTAAGTGAACATTTCTTTTATCTTAACATAGCTGCATGTATTTGGTTATTGTAGTTAAAATAAAATCAATATGGAATATGCCAAAACCTTCCCTTTAAATATTTGCCCAGTTTAGAGTGGATTCTGGTCATGGAAAGTGGACAGAAAAATTAAGTTCTGAATAAGAACAAGAGGTAAAAGCAAGAAATACTGCAAGACTCATGCTAAAGTCATTAAATGGTATCCCTGTTTGCTAGTGGGAAGGAGAGAGAGAGAGAGGGGAATAAGTTCCTTTTCATTTTAATAATGCGTTGAAAGTGTTTCCCTTGATTTGCATTAACAGTACTGCTGGATGAACATCCTGGAGGTATTAATCTCACAAATAAAAAGCAAAGAGATGCAAAATGGGTGAATTCCCCCAACTGTTTTAAGTAGAACTGTCTGCAGAATCCTGGCATGACATTCACTGCAGGACTGGGATACAACAATTATTATATAAGTGAGTTTAACAAACAAGTGTATAGAGAAGAGAAACTCTGTGGTATGACGAGGTTAGCGGAGGGGAATGTGTGTTCTCACTTTGGTAGTCCAGGCAGATTAGGGTTGTCTTTGCAGTGAGGGCAGGAGTTTTCCCAGAGCTGCACTGTTAATACATAGGTGGATGAAGCAAAATTCAGCGAAGTCAGCTGGGTTGTCCATGTGGAGGATGAATGCGGTTGCACCAAAAGCTGAGGAGTGGGAATAAAGGAAGGCAAAGAGCCAAGGATCGAGGCTGAAAGGCACCAACAGAGCCCAAGGAGAAGTGAGGGAAGCAGCACAGTGGCAGAGAGATTGAACATAAATGATTCAAAGGGAAAAGCGGTACGTGTTGGAAAGAATGAGGCAGGAAACAAGTGAAAAAGATGGAAATTTGCCTTAGGAAGTATTATCGCTTGCTTTAATACAGGAGATGTGATAGGAACAGGGTCTTAATCCCTACTTTAAAATATTTTAAGGTGCCTTTGTTTTAGAGTAAATGTGGGGACTTGAGTAACTTCTGCCTGCAGGGTGGCACAGCAGGGTCCCTCTCCCCCTCACTGTTAGCTCCCTGGGTGGGAGAGGACTTGCTCAGACGTGAGGGTAATGCTCGGTGACTGCCGAGCACCATTTGGATGTCACTGCTTGGTGCCCAGCTACCAACGGGCTGTCACAGACTCTGCCGTTGGGAGGGGCTGGGGAATTTGATCGTCTGTGTTTGCCGAAACTGGTCCCAGATTTTTTTCTGAATATGCTGCCCATCGTCACGCTGTGTCTGTGAAGGAGAGAGGGGCAGGTTTCTTCGCCTGTGCTGTCCAGTGCTTATCACTGTTTGAAAAAACTGTTGATGTTTTGTTTTGTTTTCTTTGAGCAGATGGGCAGAAGAAGGTTCAAGAGGAATTTGACATAGACATGGACGCGCCAGAGACAGAGCGGGCGGCCGTGGCGATACAGTCCCAGTTCAGGAAATTCCAGAAGAAAAAAGCGGGGTCCCAGTCTTAGTAGCTACCTCACAGCTTAAAACAAAGTAATCCTGAAATGATTTGTCAAGAAAATCAGAAATAACACAAAGATGCATGTACAGAAATGATCGATATTTAAAACCCCATTGGCAGATAGCAAACCATGAGCTTGTGTGTGACTTCATCCCAGATGCTTCACGCCCATTATCCTCTGTAACTCACCATTTTACTTGATGTTGTAATAAAAAGTTAGGGTGAAGTAATTAAAGTGTCTGCCTTCATCTGTCTTTTCATATTAATTCAGCAACCACAGCATTACAAATGAACCCAGCCCAGATGCCTGTTTTCCTCTTCACGTAACGCTTGGAGACATAACCGCACCGTATGTTACAAGGTTTTTGCTGAGGGATGAGAGCACGCATCTCAGCCCTGCTTACCTCATTTGGAGAATTCCAGCTGCCAGCCAAATGTGACAATAAAATTACTTTCTTGTAATGAGCTGAGAGTAAAAAGTTGCACACAGAAGCTGGCATGAGGGGAAGAGGTGTAGGAAGCAGTGAGCAGTTTCTTTTTGTCTTGCAATTATGCCAGAAAAGTGGCTTAAGTGGGGAAACTGTCCCTGTCCTCCTCTTTGCATGGTAACATTCAGAATTACCCAGCTTGGACCATATTGACTGTTATGGAAAAAAAAAAAAAAAAAAATTCAGACACAAAATACAAAACTCAATTCCAGAAACATTTGGAAGGTGGATTTTGTTGTTTAGTTATTTTTTATTTGTAAAGATAGAAACTGATCCTCTAAAATCTCTTTTTGATGCAGCTTTTCACTCTCTACATAATCAGTAACTGTTTCTATGCCATCTCTCTCTTTTCATATTATTTTCAGTATTTGATGAGTAAGTCATGACTCCCTGTCTCCATTTGCACTGTTCTGTATTCAACTTTATATGAGCCCCTGACTTTATCGCTGTATTAGCCCAGTTTGTGATTAACAAAAAAAAAAAAAAAAAAGCCACAACAATGTCTGTGTTAAATTGGGAAGTATTTCTGTCTTCTCCTTGTTGTAAAACAGTAACAGATCAGTTTCAGGCTAGATCTGAGCGAGGATCTTGCCTGGCTTCAAGCCTCATCAGGAACTGGATGCCCATATAGCGCATGGGGAAAGTTCAGAAAAGGCTTAAACAAGTAGTTTGTACTCAGAAAAAGGAGCTATTTAGATTAAGCAAGTGGGACATGCACTACGCAGACGTGCAAAAAAAAAAAAATAAATCTCATCCTCTTCTTGGCTGCATCAGCAGATTTAGGGGTTCCAGGAGGCATCTTTGTCTCTAGGGAAATCAGAGACAGAGGCGGTTTCTGAAGGACTGGTGTTTGCAGTAGTTCTCCAAGAAGGCAGCGTGAGCCTCCTCTCCAGGCTGACAGAGGCAGGCGTGCTGAGGGGTGACAGCCTGCCTGCCTTCAACTGAACAGCCTGGAGCTGGGACTGCTTCAGGTGTGAGAGATTCAGGTATAATTCCCAGCTCTGCCTAGAGAGATTCGTTTCTTCCTCTCCCACCTCCCACAGGAATATTCTGATGACCGGAGCAGAGGACACATATATCATCAGGCCCCTCATGTAAATGGAAAGCCACAACCAAGGGGTAGGAATAGAGGGAAAGGAAGGATCTCACGCTGGTGGCAATCCTTTCCCGTGAGGGCCCACCATAGCAGCAATACCGAGGGGATGCAGAGCTGTGCCTGAAAGGCGGGCTGTGGGGCTGCAAAGGGAAAGCCCTCAGCCTTATGCAGGTTAAGGCACTTATGGTGCTGGGCAACAATCTATGGAGGAGCCCAAACCTGATGGTGGGTGATAGGAGCTCTGAGACTGTGCTGGGCCCTTGGAGATGTTGAGCAGAGGAAGCCTTATAGGTCCTGTAGGTGATGCAGAAGGCACGTGCAGAGACGGTGTGTGAGGTGCTTAATAAGCACAGCAAGACTGGGTGGGAATGGACATGGATTTTAGATCTTCATCTGGGGATAAACATCTAAATGCTGCCCAGACCCTGCCTTAGGCACCTCTGTCTGTGTCAGGTCCCGGCCCTATGCATGACTTACCACACATCACCTGCAAAGTCAGAGTACTCCAAACTGCAGCTCTTTCTCTCTAGGAGTGTATTTTAGCAGCACTGTTTCTCTGCATTTAGGAATTTCACAAATAAACCTCAAATAATGCTCCAGCTGTGTTCAAAGTGTGGTTTGTGGAGGCCACGGATTCCCCACTTGTCTTTCGCAGAGACTGCTCACCATATAATAATCGCCTTAGCATAATAATTTAAAAATTGTAATGGGTTTGGATTGTGTTGGTGCCATTTTGTTTAGATGAACATATATCTGTAATAAAGCACTGCATTTGCATTCTGCATTGTGTCATTTGAAATAGCATGAGCTCTGTAATGGCTACTTAATTGAATAAAAACTATGGGTAAGCACTAGGCTTTTATATTTGATCTGACATTCCTTGGACTTAAATTTCCTACACAACAGGGATAATCATATGGTTGGGACATGGAGAAAACGATTACATTATTGAAGCACAGCAACAAGGGCTGTTAGTAAATGAATTATGGCTCTTAGCAGCAGGGCTATTCTTTAATGTGAAGTTCAGAGTGCATCTTACAAATACAGTCTTAATATACAGTGAAACATAATGAGGAAAAAGTGAACTGACATGAAATTTGGATTAATTGTGGCTGCCCCATCAGACAATTTCCTTTTTATGAAACTGCATTTGCATCACAGATTCAGTTCATGTTCCCAGGAGAGGAGAGCTTTCTCACTCCTGAGACTTGCTTTTCATTGATCCTTTGTTCATATCATCCAAGGTGGCAGGTTTTAATTTCCTTTCTTACCACTAAGTCATACTTTTCAAAGACTTATCTGGATATTGCTGAGGTGAGGAAAGGAGTTCGATTCAATCAGGAACTTCACTTAGATGGGTGAAAGAGGACACTTAAACATTCCAGGTATTATATGGGTCTTTTAAATTCCAGACACACACTGAGCTCTGTAGTTAACTGGCACTACCTATCTGGGAGTAACCAAGTCATGGAAAGCAAAATTTAAATTAGGTGGATATCTGTGCTTATAAACCAAAATTACCCATAGGTAACATGAAAGATTATTCAGAGCAGTAGTTTTTGCAGGAAAGAGGGTTATCACTCCCACCACATACACCCACACCCTCCCTAGACACATCCATACTGCTTCTGCTCCAAATTACTGTCAGATTGTCCCAAAAGGGAATAACCTACAGCTGAATGATCAGAACAATTGCCTGAGCCTTAGAAATCTTTTGTTCACATCGTTGCCTGGACCATAAAATAACCTGTAGAAGTGAACAGCAAAGGAGACTATTAGAAGTAAAGAAACGCCATCAGAAAACATGAGAATGCCCAAATGAGGGAAACAGCAAAGGATGTGAATTCTATCACACTAAACACAGAAATGCAAGCCAAAGCCAATGCCAACCTGTGGCTCGCTGAAGGTACAGAATTATAAATGAATTTTTTTTTCAAATACTCCTCAGACTGGTAGCCTACTGGAGAATTGTGGGGATGTGGGGAAGCGGAGATCTTGCAGAAAGTAAAAATGAATCTTGCATTTACACTCAGAGCAGAAGCTCCCACAACAGGGGTACAGGGGTCTATTTTTGTAATACATCAACCCGAGGAATTCATCGTCAAACAGAAATGCCAGTAGAAGAGAGTTTGGAGTAACCTGGCAAAATTAGTAACAACACATCTCCAGGGCTGGGTGAGGTTCACCTACATGTTGTAGAGGAGCTCAGATATGCAGCGGCTGCCTTGTTCAACCCATTGCTCATGCTGGCCTCAATTCCAGGGGAATAGGTGGTGGTGAATTAATAACAGATTTTAGAAAGGGCTCTAGAAGGATTCAGACATTTACAAGGACTGTCTTCATTAGGTAGCTTGAGAGAAGCTATAATATGACATAATACAACTGTAATATGTCAATGCCAACCTGACAGCGGCTGTGATTCACAAATCTGCTGGTGGAGTAAACAGGTGCACCTGGATTTTCAAAAAATTTTGACAGGACTCTCATGAATGCCTCTTAGAGAAGTCAAGTGGTCTGGGAACAAATGGTCAGGTCCTCTTGCAGAAAAACAACTGGTTAAGGGACAGGAGCCAAAAGGGTGGGATGGAATGTCCGGTTCTCACAGGAGTGGGGTGTCACCAGTGGGACTCCAACAGCATCTATGTTGTGCAACGTTATTAAAAATCACCTGAAAAGAGCGGTGATGAAAAGTGAGCTGACAAATTGTTATATCGGTGCTTTCTACATGAAAAATCCCACACTTTGCTCCTTAGTTTTACAGAAGGCTCCTTGAGACCCACAAGGAGAGGAAGGACGTGTCAGGCCTATGAGGGCACCGATAGCCCTGACTCCCCCTGCCCACCTCTGGGGCTCCCCTGACCCTGACCATGGCCAGGACGCCATGGCAGCCCCCTGGGGCTCCACCACCCTGCCCAGGTGCCAGGTCCCCATGTCAGCTCCCCAGGGCCATCAGCCCCTGCCCCAGTGACACTGCAGCAGGGCCAGTCTCCAGCTCTCCACATCTCTGCCCTGCCCAGCCATGGCCCCACCACGTTGAGCTCATCCCCAGGCCCATGCCCTGGCCTTGGCCCATCCCAAGGGAGGTGTCCGATGCCTGGGGCTGGATCTGCCCTGGTGCTTGGTGGTTGCCCTGCTCCTGCTGGACCTTGCACGATCCTGCCCCAGGGAGCTGCCAGACACACTGTGCCCTGCATTTAGGGCTCTGTCCTTCTGCATATCCCAGTGTCCCTCCCAGGGAGGAGACAGGGATGTGGATAGCTTTTGGTCCTATGTGCGAAGGTTAGAGGCCTCATGGAAAACAAGTGGCATTTCCCTCCCCTGGCTTATTTGCCCTCACTTGCCTGAGCTGCACAGAACGCAGCTCAATGCCATGCTTCAAACCCAAGAACTTGGGGGGGATCCCCCAGGCAGGTCCAGAGTGGGTGCAGCAGGGTCCCCCACCAGATTCCTTGCGGCAGAGGATGCCCACCAAACCACTCACTGAAACGGGTGCCAACAGTGGCTCCGCCACCTGCTCCGGCCCCGGCACAACCCCTCAGCTTGCTGATTGCTTGAAATGTCTCCCAGATACGAGCACAGCAGCCCAAATATGTCATTGAAAGCATCTGCTGTAGTACTCAATGGAGGCGGCCGGATGGAAGGGAACCCTCTGAGCAAAAGAGGAGCACAGCTGGGAAGGGCAAGTACTGCCAAAACTTACTGAGCCATCTGAAAGTGATTTCTCAAGTAATTGACTCCTCCTCCTGGTCTGTTTCGGGGCTCATGCCTCAAAGGAGCACAGGCTCTCCGGTGGGAAGCTGGCCGCCACCAGGAGTTGTCTGTGCAGCTCGGTGAATCCTACATGCCACCCAGCACTTCCAAAATACCAGTCCAAAGCCCACTGGATTACAAAGAACTGGGCAGCAGTGTGGGGGCATTCCCACACACGATGGCGAGCGTTGCCGATGGCCATGGTCCCTGCTCCCTCCCCTCAGAAGACCAACTGGAGCACGTCAGGGTTTCTCCTTCATGAAAACCAAAGCTTGAGGAGCGTGTGGAGGAGGGAAGACATGATACTCACCCAGGCAGTATAACAGCCCATGTTTGTGACATAGCTGTGAT